AAATCATTTAAACCATCAAAGCTAGGAATAGGAAGCCTTTGGCACTCCAGATGTTTTAAATGACAACATTCAGCAGGCGCACCAGATGTTTTAGATGACAACATTCACCATTCTTGCCATTGGCCAAGCTGGGGGTTGTTGACCAAAACATCTGGAAGACCAAAGGTTCCCTACTGTCTAATCAATACAAATTTTATAGTAATATACCTTCACCATTCCTGTTGAAATCTCTGTGCTGTAGTCAATAGTCATGTGAAACTGTCTCATATTTAAACCTGTGTGACTGTGATTTTTAAGTTCTGTATTGTTGGAATTCCTAACACAAGTAAGTCTTGCTAGAGTAGGCCCACTGAATCAGAGGGTATTTGGTAAGTCAACTTCTCTGTACATTCCATTGATTCAAATTGGCCAGTTCTAGTTGTAGCTTACTAGCATAATAGGTTACAACTAGAGCAGGCCTATTTGAGTCAGTGGACCTACTCTAGTGCAACTTACTATGCAGAGCAACAGGATTCCAGCTATTATAACTTAAATTTCTAAAAGAACTAGGTGAAAGTGGAGGTGGTATTAGGTTATGCATTAATCTTAACATTTCACTTTTTCAGTTTCAAAAGGCAAGTATCAAATGGCTGAAATTATTTCTAGTTATTTGAAATAGTTTGCATTGTATTAGATTTACATATCATAAACTTAACAGAGTTTATGGAAACAGATTTTTTGCCTAAAATGACAAGTTATCATTTATCATCTTCTGAGTAGTTGCAGATGGTCCCCTTTAAACTTATGCCATTAGAAGCATGATTTTGATATTGACTTAGCATTGCTGTTTATCTCTGTTTCCTTAAATTCTAACGTACTTTTTTTTCCAAAACAGGTATTTTTTCAAAGAGCAAAACCCTAAGAAGTCTACTGGAATATTTCCCAGTTTTCTTTAATCAGGAACCCGAGATGTTAATTTATAAGAATGCTAACTTCTGTGCCATTCAGACTGACTTTTTTCTTTTCTTCTGGAAAATGTTGCTCTGTGCTTAACTCCGTATGTGTATTAGCCTTTTACTGTAAAAGTGCAAATGAAATGCCCTATGTTATGTTGGTTGATGCACGTATAGCACACAGACAGCAGAAGTTGCCAGTGTGCCTACTTGGAATCCTTTGCGTAGAATAATTGTATGCTGTAATTAGTACAGCAAAAATGAAATACCTACTTTTAATTTTTGACTTAAAACAATGTATATATTCCTTCCAAGTCCATAAGAATGGTTATAAATTGTGTACATTTTTAAATACTGAGTAGAATATGTGCATATTAGAAATGAACATTTGTTCATGTATGGCGATACAAAATAAAATAATCAAACTCCATTTTGTAGATATTGGTGTCTTTTGTAGGGTCTAGATGCCTACAAAACAGTTATTAATAGATCTGATTGAAAAATAGGATCTGGCTCTACATTTTTATACAGAAAAAAAAATAAATTTTATTCAGTGAAATCTATATGTTGTCTTGAATCATTGGTTATCTTCATGTTGACTGCCAAATCACATAATTCCATGTGCAGTTCCACAGACATTGCTGATGACAAACTTAATCAAGGATTTGATAAACTATAGTGTAACATGTGCTACTCCTATTATAGTTGCCCCAACACTTAGCTGCAGTAAGTTCCACAAACTCCAAAAGCAAGTTACTCTGGCCTGTAAAACAATGACAACACTTGCTTTCATTCTGAAACTATATTTTTATCCAGCTCCTCTACACCACCAGTGCCGAGGACAACCAAATTTTGAATGGAAAGAAGTCAGATGGCTGATGTACCATCATTGAAAAATCCCCGCGCTCACAATTGTAGGGCACCACAAGCAAAATCCATCTGGCTAATTTAAAATCCCAAGTGCTCAGAAAGGCAGTCCTCCAAGTAGCTGAGTCCTGAGCTATTTAAGGTGTCAGAAGTACTTAACAGTTTGAATTGGGCCCAGTGGAGCCATTGCAGAGATTGCAAAACAGGAGTAATACGTTCCTCTCTGGCTGCCTCTGTAAGTACACAGGCGCATCATTCCATACCCTGCAACTTCTGGATCATCTTTCAAGGAAAGCCCTATGTACACTGCATGGCAATAATCCAACTGAGAAGTGATCAGGGACATGAACTATTGTGAGCAAGTTATCCTCATCCAGAAATATCCACAACTGGTACGGTGGTCTTGGCTGATCCTAAATATACATTTTCAGCATGTCCCCCTGGACCCAAAGCGACAACTGTGAAGATGGAAAAAAATACTACCTGAACATTTTGGTATTCTTAAAAAGTATATGTGGTGGGAGAGGTTAAATGTGTCTCAATTTTGATGCTGAAGCAGGAATCATCCATTTTTCCTTCTCTTGTGTTTATTTATAATAGTATACCATCTCTGTAACACAATTCATAAAGCCAGGATAGGGAAGCAGTTTGGGTGCAAGATCAGCTCTCCATCTCTTGGTTTCCTGCACAAGTCAGATAGTGTGGTCAATGCTCTTGATGCTACCTGTTTCCTGCATGCAATACCGATTGCAGCTACAGTCAGAATCTTGCCCCTCTCCATCCTCCCCTCCCCTGTATGTGATTGTGGTGCACACGCCTGTGCAGCTGGTGGTTGGAGAGCCATCTGACTCTTGATCTTGAAACTCAGCTGGTTCTCCAAGCGCTGGCTGAAATGGCTTGTTCTATGCTTTCTCTGTATTTAGGGGTGGGGATAAGCACAGCTCCACACAAATCCAAAGTCAGAATCTTGCCCCTCTCCATCCTCCCCTCCCCTGTATGTGATTGTGGTGCACACGCCTGTGCAGCTGGTGGTTGGAGAGCCATCTGACTCTTGATCTTGAAACTCAGCTGGTTCTCCAAGCGCTGGCTGAAATGGCTTGTTCTATGCTTTCTCTGTATTTAGGGGTGGGGATAAGCACAGCTCCACACAAATCCAAGTACTTGCTACAATACATTATTTAATAAACTGTATTTGCCTAAATATGCATGATATGAAGTAATTTTGTCTTCCAGTTAAAGTTTTTTTTTTTTAAAAAAATCTGTGCTAAAATGTCCAAGACGACTGGTGCAGATTGTGGATTTATTTATTTGGAGTATTATGTTGACAAGAAAGGTAGCCACCTTACCTCTATCTCTAATTTTCACCCTGGCTTTCATCCAAGGAGGTCCATACATGCTCCTCTATTTTATGAAGCTCTTGTCAGGTAGCCTGGATGAGGCTGTGAAAGAGTGACCTCCAGTCACTTAACTGCCTTCAACCTTCAGGACCTCATGCTGGATCCTAATATTACTGGCATATCTGGAAGTAAATTGTGCTGGTTCATAGAGGAATATTTCCTTCCTTTTTAACTAGAGCCACTTTACTAGCCTCATTGGTATTTTAAAATACTTATTACTGTATTACCATGTTCCTGCTTGTTATCTATAGCCTGAGACTAATTTAGCCACTAATTAGTATTGTTTACAGAACAGTGCTTCCTGGGAGGGGAACGAAATATCAAAAGGGGGGGGGGATCTTAAAGTACATTGCCTGGTATGGAATACCACACTATCAACAACTTGTGCCCAGGAAGCAAGCAGCCTCTTCGTTTTGGAGCCATGTATAAATATTTGCCATTTAGTTTCTTATGTCTGAGAAACTGGACTTGTCCATGAAAGCTCATATTAAAATATAGCAGGTAGTCTGTCATGTTTTTGTACCGTCCTTATTTTTTTTTCTTTCCTTTTCGGCCTGATACCCTAATGCAAACTAACACGGCTACCTGTTCTAAAACTACAATGGTTAAGAGTTAAATTTTGAACAGACGTGTACGATTGCCCCCAAAAGTAGCCCTGTTAGTCTGCCTAAGTATATTGGCAAAATTGGGGGTGGAGGTGGGGTGGGGGGGAGAGTTAGCTGGAAAGGCATCAGGTTAACTCCTTTACCTTCTCTTTAATTTTGGCCAATGTATGTAGGATTGGGCTCTTCGCCCCTCCTTCCTCACTGTATTTGCCTAAATATGCATGATATGAACAGAGCATAGAAGTAATTTTGTCTTCCAGTTAAAGTTTTTTTTAAAAAAATTTGTGCTAAAATGTCCAAGACGACTGGTGCAGATTGTGGATTTATTTATTTGGAGTATTATGTTGACAAGAAAGGTAGCCACCTTACCTCTATCTCTAATTTTCACCCTGGCTTTCATCCAAGGAGGTCCATACATGCTCCTCTATTTTATGAAGCTCTTGTCAGGTAGCCTGGATGAGGCTGTGAAAGAGTGACCTCCAGTCACTTAACTGCCTTCAACCTTCAGGACCTCATGCTGGATCCTAATATTACTGGCATATCTGGAAGTAAATTGTGCTGGTTCATAGAGGAATATTTCCTTCCTTTTTAACTAGAGCCACTTTACTAGCCTCATTGGTATTTTAAAATACTTATTACTGTATTACCATGTTCCTGCTTGTTATCTATAGCCTGAGACTAATTTAGCCACTAATTAGTATTGTTTACAGAACAGTGCTTCCTGGGAGGGGAACGAAATATCAAAAGGGGGGGGGGATCTTAAAGTATTGCCTGGTATGGAATACCACACTATCAACAACTTGTGCCCAGGAAGCAAGCAGCCTCTTCGTTTTGGAGCCATGTATAAATATTTGCCATTTAGTTTCTTATGTCTGAGAAACTGGACTTGTCCATGAAAGCTCATATTCAAATATAGCAGGTAGTCTGTCATGTTTTTGTACCGTCCTTATTTTTTTTTCTTTCCTTTTCGGCCTGATACGCTAATGCAAACTAACACGGCTACCTGTTCTAAAACTACAATGGTTAAGAGTTAAATTTTGAACAGACGTGTAGGATTGCCCCCAAAAGTAGCCCTGTTAGTCTGCCTAAGTATATTGGCAAAATTGGGGGTGGAGGTGGGGTGGGGGGGAGAGTTAGCTGGAAAGGCATCAGGTTAACTCCTTTACCTTCTCTTTAATTTTGGCCAATGTATGTAGGATTGGGCTCTTCGCCCCTCCTTCCTCACATGGGTTTCTGTAAAAGGCCTCCCCCGAACCTTCTGTTTCTATTCAACGAAGGCTGCAATGGTTTTGCATCTTTACTCGAGAAGCTGCGCCGAATACGGCCGTGCGCACTTGGGAAGCAACTTCCACAGGATCGCGCCTCCTTCGCTTCGGCGGCGACAGAGGGCGCGTGGTGGGAGGGACGGAAGCGGGCGTACGAGAGACCCAGGAGGAACCCGCGGCCCTGCCCTCGCCGCTGCTCCGCCTCCTCCTCAAGTCAGGAAGCCGGAAGCGGGCGGAGAGCGGTCGGGCCACGAACGAGGATAACTCTTTGGCGGGCCGCAAGCGGGAGCTGGAAAGGGCGAGGAAGGTGTCCCTCCCGCGCTCGTCGCCCGGGGGGTGGTGGTCGGGAGCAGGTATCGCGCAGGTAAGGCGACGCCTGAGCGCCCTCGAGGAAGGAGGAGGAGGTGGCGGCGAACCGGAAGCGTGTCGTGAGGTTTCGCTTTCCCTTGGAAAAGCGAGCGAATGACGAGTCCTTTTCTATGGGAGTGGAGCAGATTTGGTTAGTCTTGTAGGCCTCGGGAGGGGGGAGGAAG